AGCAGCTGTAATACTGCATCTAGGGTGACTAGTGAGTGAGAGTCCCAGTCTGCCAATATTTCACTCAAGCATTGCGTGGGCTTTCTCGCAGTAGTGGGCGGTTGCTGTTTGAAAACTGATCGAAAACCGACTGAGTATTAATGACTTACTTGACAAGATGTTTGTATAAGTTATTGTGTTCAGCTGATGGGTGGGCGGGATGAACTATAGACAGGTAAAAAATTCACCGCCTAGATAGGCACTTGAAGACGAAAACCAATGGATTATGCTGTGGGTATACTAATCTGCAAGCGTTAATACTTCCCTTCTAGTTGTTTTTACTAAACATGCCATTTCGTGTCGATCTTTATCTTGTCCGGCTCAGACATTTATCTTTTTTGTGCCGAAATCAATCAACTTTCGATGGATCTTGTCAATTTGTACCGCCAGCAAATAGTTCATGGGGATAATCAGCGTATAAATAGTGCAGGACAATATTACCATGATTAAAATGCGCCTGTTGGAGGTATTTCAAAATTGATTTTGTGTATAATAGGCGCATACTAGCCCGAAGTCATTTTCCAAAATGATCTCGTTCTTTGTGTTTAGCATGTGTATTTCCTCTCTTTTCATCTGGAGTAACAGTTGCGTTTTGTCTTCAATCGGTCAGTTATATGTATGCAAATTAATCATAAACTGATACATTGATCCGAAGTGATGACTGATGTCGAAAAACCCAAAATGAAAAAACGATTTTTTCATTACGTGTTTGTAATTCTTTTAGATTGTTTTCTCCTAGCGTTAAGCAATGTAGACCCACAGCGGCCAAAATAATGGAATCGAAAATGATTAGAGGGAAGGTTTTGGCGTGTAATTTGAGATTTTATTGTATATTGCACAGCACTAAAAGCACAGAGTGACATAATTAAGATACTTTGTTAATGCTTCCCAGATCCGCTCTACAATATCGAACATGATGTATGGTTCCTTCAAAGACACGCTAAAAGGAGTCCGTAATAAACGGAAACCCATCAGGTGCAAACCTGATCGTTCTACTTGACATATGTCACTTAAAATGATGAGTTGGTGTTGACAGCTTACATCAGCAGGAGCACAAATGGTTTTCCTCTGAAGCGGATTGGAAGTGCAATTGAACGCCCTTAACATTATGTGTGGAAAACCAGACTCAACGACTACGAATTGAAGATAATGGCGCGCGCTATGGTGACACCTTTTTGCCTTAATTCTGACTGCTGCCAAATTAATGACAAGTTAAAGTAAGATGGAGCAGCTGAACTTTGCAGTGGATCGTTCTGGAGACCAAAATCTTTTTCTTTTTTTTTTTTTTTTTTNNGGTTTGCAAGCACCCGTTTAGGGCAAAACTGCAGTACGAGTATTAAAGTTTCAGTAGCTCTGACCACCTGAAACCGCCAAAGCTTCGCCAAATTTTCTAGTTTTCTTTTTCGTGACCACACTTTTCGTTTTCCTTTCCTTTTTATCCTATTTCACGATATCGATTAAAGTGGTTTTTCAAGGTTCCTTCGGCAATTCAGTAAAATAGTGAATCGTCTTTGTAAGGTGATTTATGATGATATCCGCCTACAATCCATCGTAGCATGATGAATTCTCGAATGATAAGCCGTTTGTAGCGGACAAGAAATAAAATGGTTTTCCCAAAAAATGTGCGTAATCCTCTGTGAATTGGCTTTAAATTTAATTTCAAAATGTAATTTCTTCAACACCGTGTTTACTTAAGATGGTTCATTAGCAAAAACCGACAGATTTAAACTCGTGTTTATCAAGCTTTGTTTGCCTGTAAAGCTTTAATTCATGACTTTTCCATTTCAGGTTCTCATCCCTTGATGTACATAATGTATAATTATTACTTTAAAATCGAGGATGAAAAGCTGCTTTAGCTCTTCATCAACCGCTAGGGCCAAACACTCAAGTGAAAAGTTAGAAAGAAAATATACTTAAAACATGGCAGTTTTTCGATGTTTTTTTTCGTCAGAGATATATACTCACCAAATCCTTCATTTATGTGATTTTTCCGCCGATGCAAAGCATTTCCATTCCTATATTTCCATGTACGTGCCAGCGTAGATTAAAGTTTGCAATTCCTACCATGCCACACAAGCAGTGAACACGAAACACATCTTCGTTAAGTCGTTCCGAGCCTTTATTTCCTGAATAAATCCCCACTGCTAACAGTGTGCAACTCTTGGACTTCATAGTGTTAATTTGGATACCTGCCGACGATTTCTTTTTGAAATAACCTAGCAATTGAAAAGCTGTTTGTCGCGGCTTTGATTAGTTTAAACTGCAAACTGCGAGGATTGTTAGAAAACTGAGGCAGGTGAAACAATTCAAAAATGCTAAATTTTCTAGATTTTTCACATACAAAAACATTTGTGTTATAATTAGAAAAAATAAGTTACGAATACCAGATTTGAAATGTTCTTTTCTTTAATCACCTTGACGAAAACAACATTGAAAAAACTCAACGCATTCAAAAATGTGGCGAAACGTTACACTTGAGGTTGGCTTATATAACGCTGTTCCTACACAACGATGCTCTCAGTAGGGCATGGAATATTGTCACGAGATGTATTTTCAGCGCGTCTGGAAATTACACTGTGCCATAAATTAGAACTGGTTTACGGTTTTCCAGAAATTCCTAACAATTGGTGACGATACTAAGCATTCCCTGTCAGCCAGGACGGGTCATCTCGATAGAATACTTTATTCTCCACTCAAGTATACAAGGAAAAGTGTAGCAGATGGAGGAGAGATTTCACGACTCCGAGCATCGCCTTACAAAGCGTGGCGAGAGGAAGTGAATAAATGACAAATCACTAGGTTTGTGTATGCGAGAAATCCCGTCTCTTCCGATTAACGCAGTAGCTAGGTCGTGGCGCTCTGTCGCTGTCAGTTGTAAGAAACAAAACTGCAATACGTGGACTCGTGTTTTTTTTTTTTTTTTTTTTTTTTTTTTTTTTTTTTTTTTTTCAAGAAACGCACACCTTAAAACAGACCAAGCATTTGTTAATGGTACTTTGGAGGAAGACAGCAAAGAGGAACATAGATGTTAAGAGATGGAGAAAATTAAATGGATTGCACATGTAAAATTTCCAGAAAAAAAGTTTGGATGAGTTGATTAAGATGCAAAAGCAGCGACGTAGCTCCTCGATTAATCAATTAAGTTACGGATACGAGCAATTTCTATCGCCTGCGACACTAAACCATTTTAATTGCCCCACCCCCCATTGTATCTAAGTTACTTGATGATTTTTTTCTCAAGCAAAAATCTCAATGTCCATTCAGGTAATGGACTAAAAAATTATTCACATCACGTTTATCAGAAGATATAAATGAGTTTGTAAAAGGGTCAAGAGATAAATTGAACCAGTTAGCCCTAAGTGGAGCCACACAGTCTTGGTGTATCAATACTGTGAAATTATCAATATCCGAATTTACTCGGGCAACATAGGTAAATGGAACAACGAGGGATCAATATTTCTGAGTGTTTCTTTCGAGAAAACGGATTCGCCGAACAAATTTTCTTCTGAGCACTAGTCGTCGATAGGATAAATTTACTTGTTTTGAGTTCCGGTGCTGTTAAAGTTGCTTGGATATGAATTAACACCTTAAAAATTATTCATTATTTCGCAAAATTTCTTCTTTTCGGTTCAAGGTGTCCGAATCATCATGTTTTGTATTCGACAAGCTACGTATTGGTAAAAATCTATGTATGAATTCCAAATCAACTCTCAAACCTCTGAAATTCTCTCTTTGAAGCACGTTTTAATTCACTTCAACAAGCCAGCCGCTTGAGCCAACGCCTCTTCAAAATCTGCTGTAGTTTGCTGTGAAACAACTTCTAACCCTGAATCAAACAATGTAGTTATAATTTGTGTTGTTCTAGATCCTGAGATTTATTGTTAGATAATCATATATTCTTCAGTCAAAAGACCGTTTGATGTGGACATGTTGTCTGAGTGATGTCACTGCTACTGATTTGAAAATGCGGACCTTTTCTTTAATGGTTTCACGTCGATTTTCAGGGATTGGTGTGGTCACTGAAGATTGCGTTATGATTAGCGAGGACTATGCCATATCAATCCGCACGAGATGAATGGGACACTGACTTGCAATTTTCAAAATGATCGTGATCGCGATTTGTTGATTTTCTGAAAAAAACAAAAGAGATCAATGGAACGAAACAGGAGACGCAATTATTTTAAAAAAAATCCCAAAGTAATTACTCTAAACCTTGCCTGTTGCATGGGATTTACCAATTATGTTATTTTGAGATTTTAGGTACCATTGAAGTAATCAACATAGTGTGATTACACAAAACAGCTGAATATCATAATACAAGCTGCCTTATAGGTGTTTGCGCATTAGAAATGATCTATGAGAAGATAAATTTATCTTTCCACGCACCTCGAATTCATAAATTGTTCTCACTTAGGCAGAGCGGCGCCAACCGAGGGCACTTAACTGAATCATGACAAGGAAAACTGGGGTCAATGGCTTCTCATAATGATTAACTTAAAGTGACTCAGATACCATTAAAGAAAACAACGTGCAACATTTTAGAGGAAGAAATGAGGGTGGATTTAAGTTTTTACAGATAAAACTGGTATGCTATTCCAGAATATTGCAATTTCGAAGGTACCGTCATCCTGAAGACTATTTTGTCGGCTGATCTGTGTAGCTAGAGTAGCTTAGACGGTTTAAGTTGTGAATCTAGAAAGTCAGGTTATGATCGCTGTCGCGTGGAACATTGTGATCAGGGTTGGGGTCGATTTATCGCAAAAAACAAACATTAAAGAGAACAACATCGTTACTCTACTTCAATAGACTTTCCTGTCATAGATAGTTCCTTACTTCCTTAGATCTGAATGAGTCGACGGTAACATTTTGGAAGTTGTGACGGCTGTTTAATTTTTTTTGTCTCGGTCTAGCGTTTTCAAAGGGGAGTCTCGGATTTTACCATTCAATGCTCCGATTTTTAATTTTATTGCTTATACAAACCTAAACTGTATTTTCCATGTGATATTACTCTCGCTCAGGAGCCTTGATAAAAAAATAGAGCTGGTTAATTGCAAAATGAGAAATATTTCCTAAAAACTCCTGCGTGGTAATTTATGACGCTCTCGACTCCTTCAAACAATTTTTTGTGAGTGGTGTATGTTTGTCTAGTTTTCGCGGTTGGCTTTGGGAATAAGTTCTAGGTAATGTGGTCTCTACAGTTCTGCTAGTTCGTTTGCCGTCAGCAGATCTATGAAAAAGAGAAATTAGATCAACAAAGTTAGAACCAGCTGGTTACGATGTGGTCTCCTCTTAATGGAAAAATTTAGGATCGGATACTCCAAGTGTAAAGTTAGAAAGGGGGATTCCTGCTCATGCACGTTTCACGCGCATCAAAAAATAGAAATAACCCATTATGAAAAATCGGATAAACAACTCAAGTTTCACATATTGCGAAAGACAAAAAATTCACAATTCACGGGCTTTTAATTTCGTATTTTCACTGTCATGAAATCTAAAAACACTTACTGATTCCGTAGTACCATGCAATAACCCCTTCATCCCGCCCCATTTGAACGGTTACACCGAAGGACTTACATCTACACACTTACAAGCGAGAATCACTCTGTTGCGCATTATAAACAATAACACGTGACAACACTGTTCGCTAGCTTTCTTATTAACGGCCACACAAAACGCTAAGGATAGCACCAGTTTTTGCGGAATGTACAGGTGAAACTTGATGGAGGTCAGGCTGAATTACCTAACTCTGGCACAGAGAATAAAAACAATGTTCTCACCTGGTTCGGAGAAGCAGTGTACCACTTACAGCAGCTGCCTTGGAAGGGTCGATCCAACGTCCCCCGCAGTCAAAGCTACATTCAACAGCGAGACCGGGAAAAGCCACATTGGTAGAGAGAACACCATTGTCGATCCTATATGAACAAGTAAATTGTTAAACATTTCGAAAAAAAAATGCCAGTCCATTGCAATAATTTTTCGTACGATCATTGGCCTGATTTCCTTCTGATATTTAGTCAACACTTTGGGAGAGACTTTGTGGTTACGGTAAAATGGCTTGCCGGTAGGTGACCCATGAAAAGAATAAATAGGTTGAAAGAGTTAATCTCTCGGTATGTTGCCTTCAGCATTGAGTCTTTGGGTCATCGTGCCTTACCAATCAACTTATGCTCCCTCATGTCACATTTCTCTTTATCTTTCTGACAAAAAACCGATGAAGTTAAACCAAGAGACACAATCCTTCATATCGGCCCTCTTCCCAAAGCACTCTACCAGCTATCTTTTTCAACCGAGGTATCTAAGCTCCCATGAAATAGTGTTACGTGTGCCTGTGTTTCTTGCAGCTAATCTGCAGAATAAAGAGACGCCGAATAGATTGTGCGTGTGTGTTTTTCTAAAAGTATAGTGATTTCTACTTCCTGTGGAGACTGATCGCAGTTCAGTCGAAGAAGGCGGATTTTCCTCAGACTCAGGCCTTCGTTGGAGATTAACTCTCAGCTTATCTTCTCTTGCTTAGATGTGTTTAAATGAGAAAGCAAACAGATACCTGGCCCCCGGAGGAGGAATATGATAAGCAATACCCAGTTTATCCAAACGAGCAAGCTCTTTATAGCCAAGAGTGTTTGAAAACATAGCCCAGCTTTCATTCTTCATTTTACTTCGTTTTTCTTTGTTTCTTTCATTTTCCCACAGGTCTTGATGCCATGCTCTCTCGGCGACAGCGAGAAGTCTTGGAAACGTCATGGATTGAAACTGAGAGGGGGTACGTATTGTCTCTGACCAAATGACCCCAGCTAATCCTGTATAGGACACACAACAAAAAAAACATTGATTGCGTGCCGTCACACCGAAACTTTATTAACTGCAACAGTCATTTACAACTATGGTAAACACTACGGAGGCAATGTGAACTTGAAGCAAATGTATTTGAACGACCTGAAACTTGGTAAAAGGCGAGGGGCCAAGTCTTGAATAGCATAAGTTTTGCATGTGATTTGTGATTTGTCACAGCTAAGAGGCGGGCGAGTTTCGTTAACCAGTCATAGCGGATCGTTTTCGATACTGAGTTCAAACCTGCTGTATAAGCTATTCTAAACAATGACACAGTGGATTTTTTTAACACACAGCAGGAGGTCAGTAATTTTCAGCAAATCTATGGTGTACGCTTCTTTTGGTTCTCACCGGTGCTGCAGTTGTGGTCTCACGGAATAACGAGAGAGTATAGACGAAATCAGTATTCATAATACTTTAATACCTCGTGCCCAATCTGCGATTTACCACTGAGATGGCTTGATTCAGGCAAACAAAGTGTAAAAAATTGTTTCACTTACAAGTAAACTTAGTGTAAACATCTTGAAAACAGGGTGGATAGCGAGCACCCAACAGAGGAGCATTAAAAATTTGGAAGAGTAAATCGAATTTTTACGCCGTTATCTACTGCGTTAAAAACGAGAACTCACCGATAATATTTTCAAGTTTTTGCGGTCTTACACAACCTCCAAATACGCTACAGTAATCGTTGATTGGTTCTCCATTGTCGTTTATTTCAAAACTGTCATACAAGTGTTCGGGCATAAAGCCATATGCTTTCTGAGTGTTTGTGTAACGTGTGGCCCAGTATAATCCTCTTTCTTCCGGGTCTGGTTCGTGTGCGTGATCAAAATAAAGATGAGACGCTGGGGACATTATCACCTGAAGTGAAAAGATGAGATCGTTAAACAGTGACTTACATAGAAGCCGAGAGTGATGTCAATCCGTGATGATCTTCGGAAGTTTCTGATGTCGGTGAAATCCTCATTTAATTCTCCGCCATGATCAGATTATGTTCCAATTTTAACCTTTTTTGTTATCCGACAGATTATTCAATTTTTTAAGGACTCGTTAACTCATTAGGTTGATACTGTATTGCATTATCTGTGGTCGGTCGATAATCCCTATTGATTATACATTTACCACATTGCATTTTCTCTTTTAAAAGATTGTTAACGAACCTTGTACCCTTCATTGGCTAATCTGTAACTAAGATTTACAGCGTCTCCCCAGGCATGTCCATAACTTGAGCCACTATCCAATTTCGTTTTCACTATGTGACTTTTTGAACGATCTAGCCATCCATCGTCCCACAGCATGAGTTTGACACCGTATTTCTTAGCGATTCGAGCGACCCGTTTTGTAAAAAATGCTCTCCAATCCGGATGGATTGACGTCGACTTAAACTTCTCCCGGGTAGACGTCGACTTAAACTTCTCCCACAGCCTATGGCAGGCCGAAGAAAGATTCCATGCTCCCATTGAAACCTCGTCTCCTCCAAGATGGATAACCTTGAGTGGTTGAACCCCTTCGTGCATGGCTCTTACCTCGAGAACCAACTTTTCGATAAAATCATACGTTGTCGTTAGACATGGATTTACAGCATTGTTGAAAAAGAACTGCCCTGATTGATAATTAGATCTATCCTTCAGATCGTTCAAGTAGAACCTCAGCCCCTCTTTAAGTTTGCCCACATTTACATATTTTTTGAATCGAGCTTCCATAGCAGTGATGGCGGCAGTGGAATGGCCCGGAAGGTCAAATTCGGGAATGATTTGAATATGCCGAGCATTGGCGTATTTCAAGATCTCTTTATAATCTTTTACAGTATAATGACCGCTTCCAGAACTGTTTCTGAAGGGACCCGATCCTAGTTGAGGTTTAAGGCAATGAGTTTCTCTCAGATCATGACATCTCTGCGACGCAACCTAGTAGTGTGCATAAAAGAATGTATAGAATGAATGATTCAACGTCTAGCTCTCAAATTCCAAAGTCATCGACTCTTTCTAATTAAAGATTATTTCGAAAATAGACATCTGGCATTTTACAACTGAAACCAGCAAATGTTTGTAATCAGATTTTACAAACTAAGTTGGCAATATCTCCATATAATGAAAAGGAAATCATCCATACGAAACTTCCTCATTGCTCTCTCTGAGTTAGTTCTAACTTAGCTTAAGTCTAAATTGCGGGAAACTCCTTTTAATGATTCCCCAACTCAGATAACAATTCTTCTGACAAGCTAATGGACACTTACTAGCTGTATCTGTTACCTTTTACCGTGAAGAGCCACCTTGTTCAAGGGACATATTTCCTATATTCTACCAGGTCCTTCCTTGAGGGAGATTGCAGTAAAACAGAAAGTTTCCATTCTCTCTCAGACACTTACCTCTGTAAGTTCAGGTAATCCAGGAATCTCCAGACGCCAACCTTCGTCATCGGTCAGATGAAGGTGAAGCTTGTTCAGCTTGAACATTGCCATTCCCTCGAGGATCCGCTTCACTTCTTTCTTAGGAAGAAAATTTCGAGCAACATCAATGCTCAAACCTCGATACTGATATCTTGGAGAATCCATAACTGTGACCCAGGGTATCTTTCCGTTCTTTATGATACTCAACAGCGACTGAATCGCCCAGAATACTCCTGCAGGAGATGCACCAACGATTGAGACTACTTCTTTCTGAGGGTCGACCTTCATCGTGTAAGATTCATCGCTATCTCTTTTTTTGTGCTCAGCATCGATCGTTACCTTGCCAATCCTGAGCTCAATGATTTTACGTGATGGTGCCCCACCATTGCTAAGTTGCATCTTGAGCTTTTCTGAGGAGGAAGTAATCTTGGTAAGGAGCTACTTACAATTGCAGCAATAGATAGTTATTTCAGATCCAACCAACTTGCAGGAAAATGATAAAACAGCTTTTGGCAACTGGTCACTGTTTCTCCCCTTATTCCACTTTGTTAACTTCATTCACATACTCTTTACTAATTTTTTATTAAGTTAGTGCGACCTTTGGCTCACCCTTACAAAAATAAATATACACAGACCACGTTTGAGAGTCAATGCTAACTACATATCTTCAATGACAACGGTCCTTTGCCCCATGCAACCTCACTTTAATCATCTTTAACTGAACATACCTGACAAATATTGACCTTCATCTTCCAAATCTTTTCGTGAAACTATCATCCATTTTCCGTCTTTTAAATCTATCCTTTTGAGTGAACTTTCATTCTTCAAAACAAGAGGAGTCGGAATGATAAGCTTACCAGGCCCTTTCAGATCAACTACGTTGTTCATCTCGAAGCGTTTCTCTGGAGTTAAGGGATTAAAGTTATCTTGTTTAGAACGTTTCCACTTGGATGCTGAATCAAAAGGACCAACAAATTTTAAACTTTCTCCCTCGGTGCTTTTGATAATTCTTGGCTTTAAGCCAGGTGCAGTAATGTACCAGTTAGGCATGATGTCTGTCTTGGAAACAATCGAACCATATGCGATGAGATCAAGCTCAGTTTTTCCATCAGGGACTAAGTCCAAAAAGTTCTCAGTAGGTTTTATGACTTGTAGATACCCATTGACGTGTGAGACAGAAATCTCCTTTCGGCTTTTAACAAGAGGATCTGGGCTGTTGCTAAGCATTCTAAGACAGCTGAAGTATATCGCCCACTTTCCAGAAGTGATGTTATGCCGACCTTTATTAGTAAATTTTAAACGAATGTTACATACTCCTTCCATGTTGGAGATGACGTCGAATTGGATATCTAGACAGGACGCCATGTCTTCTAGATACACTTGATCCATTGCCTGGCAAATGACTGCAGAATATGAAAGTCATTTTTTAGGTAACTGGGAGATTTATTTCGACTGGTAAGCTTACCAAGATTTTTAATTAATGTGAAACAGCTATTGCTCCTCTGATTCCAAGTTGATAGCAGTAAATGGCCTCGGAGTTTTGCCAACCTTTCGAACGCTCAATAATTCGACTGGGTCGAGGCGCCATACGGAATATTTTTGCAGACTGTTTACCGATACGTGTTATACTAATGCTTAATAGTCCAAAACACTGAACTTTGCGCAACTGCGCTTCCCTGAATTATCGAAAATGCTTTTCACTAACTACAAAGGATTTTCACTACGCTTTGTAAATAGTTAAATTGCTGTCGCTCGTTCAGCATCTCCACAAGACAGAAACTCTCAGTGAGGGATATATATATTTTTGATTCTTCTCTGCAATTTTAACTACCTTCTTGTTTAGAGATACTTTCACCTAGGGTCTAATCACTTTCAACTTGACTGAGACTAAAAAAGGATCCAGGGATAAACCAAAGGGTATGGCGAAGGATTGAGAAACTTGCCACAACTTGCAACTGATGAAGTAGATAAAGAAAGGCTTCATTTTACAAGGTATACTAGCTGGGACAAAGCTCCTTTAAAAACCATGCAAAATAAAGAAAAAAAAGAATTCAGAGAAATAAGTCTTTTACGAAATTTTGACCACTCGATCATAAAACTATCGACCATTATCTCAGTTTTCGTTTACATTTTGTTCATGCATTGATGTGCGATGGTCCTTACTGCTGGTGTCAAAAAAGACAAACCGAGCGTGGAAGGCGGACCTGTTGTTATTTAACAGGTGCTAGACGACTGGATATAGATGCAACGCCTTCTAGTCCTTCCCAGCTGCAGCATTTGCGCCATATTGTTTCCACGGCCAGGCCGGCTACCGTGATCTCTTGTTTGCCGGGTAGCCCGCTATTTCATACGAACATATACTGAGATGTTGTTAAGAGGAGAGTGTTAAGGTGAGAACCCGCAAACCCAAACAGCCCGTGCAAAGTGCAAGTGCAAACATAACAGTGATTACTAGCTATATAAATGGAGGCCCTATAAATCAGCAACGTTAAAAGCAAGACTGCAGGGCGGAATTCAAACTTCAGTCACCGAAGACTTGGGGAAACAATTCCAATGAAGATTCACTACGGCACACGAACGATGTCATCATCTCTATAAATTATCAGAAATAAACGGCAGCGAAAGACTGAAGTCAATAAATATTTCGGCAAAATAAACCATGTTATACAAGCAAGAACATAGAGAATTACTAACAGGACCACGTAGGGAACTTAAACATCACTAACTAGGATTAAATTATTACACGTAGGGTTCACACCCTTACAAGGTGTCTCGAACCAGTGAATTCGTTAATAATTGTAGTTAAGATGCAAAGTAATTGCTTTTTTTTTTTAACATCAAGAAATAAAATCTCTACTAACCTGGTGTTAATATGAGATATGAAAACATGCCAGAGATGAAAAACAGCCATTTCTTAAGCTTCGTTCTGAACATGAAGCAGCTGAGAACTGACATCAGATTTTCGAAACTGTATTCAAAGGAAAGTTATTTTAGCGATGGTTATTCCCAGTATCTGCTCCACAGTGCGACTTCAGACCGTTCTCGAACCACAGTAACCTCGAATTTTTGCTTCCCAGCTCAAAACCTCTCAAGATCAGAGCTCCTTTTAATTTTTTTTTTCCCTGGACCTTTCGATTAAATTCCTCAGTGTTTAAAAAGAATGGATTTACCGCAAGATTCCTACAAGGTAACAACTTCGAGTGTAGAAGACTCTAATTGATGAATCTTACGCCGATTGTTCTCCTCTCTTGCATTATATCTCATTACGAAGGAGATCAGCAATTACCGAAATAACTGTGCCAGATATGTTTACCTTCAAAATCATTTTAACAAATAGTTGTATTCAAACCTTTCTTGGTGGCTCTGTTTGCATCAGCGTCAATGCATTTATTGTTTTTGCTATGGGATATATTATTTCCGGGTCAGTGATGCTAATCAAGAACAAGCTTCTGTCAGTGCTACATGGTCAATGGGTAACCCTAAGCAAACGTCTACGCATGGACGAACGCAGGCTGTCAGAACCAAGTTGTCTTACAGGAAAAAGACGCCTGGAGGCGTTGACGTGGAATGCGTTTGTTGTTTGGTTCTACATTAAAAATAATAAATATAAGGTCGACTCAGCACTAGACTCCTAATGAGAGATTCTTTTTGCCTGTCACGGGATATCACAACACAGGATATGCGATCATCCATCCACGTGTCCACCCCAGCCAACAGGGCTTAATTTCAATAAAAAACACAAGCACGTGGCTAATTGCCAGGTGAGACTACAATGAAGACAAAATTCGACCGAGATTTAAACAGGGTCTGCTTATAGCATCCCGCATAATTATATATAACCACGCAAGCAAGTCACAGTATTTAAAAAGCGTAAACGAAATCCTCTTCCGAGGCATAATAGAGTTATTTCCTGTAAATTCAAAAAATTTTTTTTCAGATTTGTAGGCCTGTTTGACATTGTTGCTTCACAAGAGTTTGTCGCTTGTTTTTATTAGTTTCGCCTGTACTTTAGCCAAAATGTTGCAGCGTTTGCTTCAGTTTGGAACTGTTAGAGTACCTCTGCAATCAGTCTTACGAAGTGCCAATAAAATTCACTCCATATCGTTGGTAAGTGCCAATAAAATTCACTCCATATCGTTGGTAAGCCTTGCAGTTTCTTAAAACGATAAAAGGCACCAGTTCAAGCGCAGGAAAGATGAATACACTTACGGTCTGTTTTCAAATTTATTTCATGTAATGTAACTTTCATTTCAATTTTTTATTTCAGTTGCGATCTCATACTGCTTCCTTGAGTTCTTCTTCTCTCTAAGCTTGAATTTCCACGAGCCTACTCATCCGCCGCATATCCGCTGACCTGTTGACAAACCAAAAGATGACGCTCGTTACTTTTAATCACACATTCACTTTTTTCAACTCTGACAAGAATCAATCCTGAGACTAAAAAGAAAAAACACAAGAAAACAAGACAAAATATACTTTGAAAAAAAAAAAAGGTGTTTGAACTAGAAAGGATGAGCGTGTCATCAAAATGTGCTTCTTCAACAAATCAAGTTGGGGTTTACCAGCGGTCGGGGTCAAGCGCTATCCTTGCAGAATACGACAGAAAAACGCAGAAAGAAATCTCGCAGCTTGACGAGAATAAGAAGTGAATTTCATACCTCCCTCCTATAATGTTGGCACTGACCACATCGGCCTACATATCATTCGTCTGCAGAAGCTATAAATTGCTATTGTGTTTCTTTCTATTTCAAATGTAATCAAAACTACAACAACATTCTCAATGTGATAGCTGGACACCAGCCCGATTTGAGCACTAATAAGGCAGTGTACGTGTCATGCTTGTAATTAGACAGTGTAAGGGGACAATTAACGCGTCAGGCCTATCTAAAACAGCACGTGTCATGTGCGCGCGCTGTTTTCGCGCACTTCACAAAGTTAACTGTTATTTTCTTTTTATGAAAACGTATTACCGATGTGTAGTTTCTTTCCCACGTTTTGTCATAGTTTTTGTCAATTTGTAACATAATAATAATAATAATAATAAAAATAATAATAAAGGTCTTTATTAAGAATTATTGTGCACACAGACGTGCAACAATTAACATGAATAGAATGAATAAGAAAAAAGAAAAGGTATTAATTACTATTGAAAAGACATCTATTAATAAAAACTGATTTAAAACGGCTTGTCTGAACCTTAGGCAAAATACAATTATGCGACCTAGTTCTCAACTGCCGTGTTCTCTGGGGAGGTAAGAGATCGCTCAACGCAGTGTTGGTGGAAGAGATCCTTTGCCATAATTTCTTATCTCTATTACAACGGATATCCAAGATACTGTGTTGCTTTAAGCAGTAACCCAGCTTATAACACCTGGCAAAGAGCTTATCAATTCTACTTAAATATTTACTATAAAAAGCACACCCCCAGACCTCAATAGCATATGTAAAAACTGAAAGAATCAAACTTTGAAAAAGTAAGTCCAAATTCTCAATAGGGTAGCCATAATATTTACATATTCTCAAAATATACAACCTACTGCTAGCCTTACTAAGTAGATAATCAATATGAGTGTCCCAATTAAGTGGCATTTGCTCAAAGGTNCAAGAGCTTATGTGATCTGATATGACGTAATATAGTCTGATCTGTTTGAGCTAACGTAATCCGTGACTGAGATGAATATTACCTGCTATATTCTGTGGTTTCTTCAAGGGAACGCATTTCCCCTTATACATCTCCTCACACAAGTTAATAATTGGATCTCCCATCCTTGTGAAATCAGCATTAGCATAGACATCATCAGGCATAAAACCAAAAGTCTTTCGAGTGTCGATGAATCTCGGAGCCCAGTAGTATCCTCGTTCCTCTGGATCGGGCTCGTATGGGTGATCAAAATACAAGTGGGTTGCTTGAGTCAACACAACCTGGAGAGTGAGAAAATTGTAAGACTGGTACCGAGTATTGAAGGGGTGGTTACCTAGGCGCGGCAGCCATGCGTAAGTTCAGTAAACGATGTGTAGTTGCGAGTGGCGGTTTTGTTTCAAAAGCCGTTTCTTTTAGAGGTTTTGTCTCTCGTTCTGTATAAAATGGTAAACTTTAAATGAGTAATGCATGATTCGTTGACGCTTGCAGCGTTGTCTGTACTCTTATCGACATTGGCAAATTTGCCAATCAGAATGCGACACCACTGTCAATTGTTGTAAAAATCCTGTGTGTTTAAGAAAAGAGTTGCAAAAGAGCATTAAGTGGAAAAAATCTTACCTTGTAATCAGTATTGGCTAATTTATATGCTCGATCCCCTTGACCCCATTCCCACACGTTATCCCAGGCATAGGCGTACACGTTGCTGTTCTTCAGGTAGCTCCGGTCATAAGGGATGTCTTTCACTCCAAGAACTCCATCTTCCCAAGCACCAAGATCTAGACAATATTTCGAGCTCACATCAGCCACTCGGCGAACGAAGTACTCTTTCAAGTCCTTAACGATGGTAGGACTTGTAAAGTCCAATCCCAGTCTACGCGCTAGCTGTTTGCATGCGGGAGACTGTGTCCAAGCACCGTGTGCCACCTCGTCGCCGCCAAAGTGGAAGACCTTAATAAGAAAAAGGTGACAATTATGTATGGAGAACAGACGCTCCACCCGTCTACCTCNACTTTAAATTGTTTAGCAAAATGTAGCGTAAAGTTGACTCTCAAATTGGGCGCGGTCGCTTACGACAGGTTCTCACTATAATGATTCCGCAAGGAAAGTTTTATCAATATGAAGAAGCGGTCGCTTACGTACGCAACAAACCTACCTACCCTACCCCTACCTGCACCCGTTTTCCTCTCTCCCTCAGAGTTACCTTAAGTGGCTGTATGTCCTGATGCATGTACTTCACGCTGACCACAATGTGCTCAACAAACTCGTACGTGGATTCTAGGCATGGATTAATAGCATTGTCTGTAAAGAACTGCACAGAAAGGTACTTTGATGCGTCCAAAGGATCTGACAATAAGTACTGATCTGCTTTAAACGAGTTCCCCATGGCGGCCTGTTTCCTCTGTCTTGCCTGCATGGCCTTGATTGCGGCATGGCCGTGACCAGGCATATCAAATTCTGGGATGACCTCCACGTGCCTCTCTTCTGCATATTTCAATATCTCGCGGTAGTCGTTCACCGAATAAAAGCCAGTACCGGAGTTACCAGTTCCTGGACCAGAGCCGAGCTGAGATCCAAGACATTTTTCTTCTTGGAGGTCATGGCACCGTCTTGATCCAACCTTATAAAAGAAATATTACAGCTTTTAAATTATAATTACAATTACAGCTTACAATTACAGCATAATAACACTTTTCTAGCATTTGAGTTCACACCTTTAATTTCATGTTTGTTGTCACGCTGTAATTAGTACCCGCTTTTGTATTACATCATACTGTAAATATATTATTCATCTACTTGTCTGTTATATAATTACTCGCGTTCTGTTACTCATTGATTGAAGATGGCATAAGCATGCCGAAACATGTCTCTAAAAAATGTTGTATATTTCTTACAATATTTATCCTACTTGCGACTACTACGACATTACAGCTTTTACTGAAGTTAATTTCAGCTATAATGTTAATGCATACTGATCTTGGTTTAAAGGTAATTGTGCCAAGAAAGCTAAAGGTAACTTTTAAAGGCAAAGTGAAAACAAACTATAAGTTGTCCAGAAAAGTTAATAATTATTGTAATAATTTATTTAAAGTCGATAATGTAGGACGTGGTTGCCCAATCTTCCGAGCCGATGGCTCATGTTAAAAACACTCGACAAATAAATTTTAAAAAAATATATTATATATGATGCACGATCCTCGCAGTAGATAGCGCTATTTAAGCAATAGTTGATTTAAGTTGATTCGTAATAAACCCGTGAAAGTGACAAATGAGATACAATGAAATATATGAAGTTCATATATTTTGTACTGCGGTATTAGATATATTACTTCATATATTTTGTACTGCGGTATGAAATATATTACTTCATATATTTCATTGTATCTCATTTGTCACTTTCACGGGTTTATTACTAATCAACTTTACGGCCTGCTCCCAGTTGGCTTGTTAGCTCAATTGGTAGAGCGCTGCACTAGTATCGCAGAGGTCAGTGGTTCGAATCCCGTTAAAGCCTGTTTTTTTTTTTTTTTTTTCAGGTCTGATTTTCGCTATTGCTTAAATAGCGCTATCTACTGCGAGGATCGTGCATCATATGTATCTAATACCGCAGTACAAAATATATGAACTTCATATATTTCATTGTATCTCAGAAATATATATATAATCAAAAAAATTAGTAATCAATAAACTAAATATATAAGCATTGTCGGGAACCGTGAACAATGCCTTATTTCGTTTAGTTTTTATTGTTCTTTGTTGTGTCTGAACGGCCGGAAATGACTTCACTCAATTTCCCAGAATGTACTTTGTACTCCTAGGTATCACGTAGCTGCTTAGTTAAATATAGCGATCCTGCATGCGCTCGTGTCGGTTGATGCTGCAGTTAAGCCTGGAGTTTAAGCGGAGTGATTCTTAGAATAAAGGAGCTGATTAATTAGGAAACGTGTTGGTGCGTTTTTGACAAGCATATCTATATACATTAAAGGACTATTTACATGAGAAAACTAAAAATTGAAAAAGTTCGACCATTAAAAAGATAAAATAGATAAAAAAAAATTTTAAAAAATATCTAATCTATGACGAAAAGGAGTGGCATGCACAACCTTTAAATGCTAAATTTTTTATGTCTTTCCGAAACTCTGTTATAGACGGCATATTTAGCAGAGTTTGATAAACTGTTCCAGTAATGTGAAACTTTTGAGGTTCCTACATAGCAAATGCTTTTCAGCTGATTTTATGTCACGGATGAAACAGGTCTTTCTCACAAACCTCAGTAAGTTCAGGCAATCCCGGAATTTCAAGTCTCCATCCTTCATCGTCAGTGAGATGGAAGTGGAATTTATTTAGTTTATACATCGCCATGGCGTCGATCATCTTTAGAACCTCGCTCTTAGGCATAAAGTTTCGCCCAACGTCAAGTTCCATACCACGATACTCGTACCGTGGTGCATCGTTTATAATCACGTTAGGTACTAGGCCATCTGGTTCATTTAGACTAAGCAGGGACTGGATTCCATAAAAGACTCCTGTTGGAGAATTACCAATGATTGAGATGCAGTGCTTACTGGAGTCAACCTGTAAACTGTAGGCTTCTTTGCGATCGGATCTTACACCACCGATTTTAACTTCACCCAGCTTTAGCTCCAACTTTCGAAACGCACTGAAATGTTCCAGTTGAATACCAAGTTTACCTGCAGAATGTAATGCGCATTTAAAATATTTTGTTAACTTTGAGAGTTTTAAAGTTTGGGGTCTAAAAGGAGGAAGCAGTTGAGATTGAATGCCATCTTTCTCGTGTTTTGAAGTTTCGAGTTTAAAAATTACTACATTACCCGCCAAGAATCTGGCTTCTTTCTTCAAATCGGCACCTGCCACAATCGACCAGTCACCAGTACCAAGGTTAATTTTTTTCGTCTCATCAAGGCCGAGAATCTCCTGTGGTCTGGGAATAATTAACTGCCCAGGCTTTTTTAAATTGTTAATGTCGTTCATGGTGTATCGCTTTTGGGGTGTGTACGGGTTGTATTTGTCAGATGGAATCCGTTTCCATTTTTTCGGCGAGTTAAACGGACCGACAAAAGATAAATCTTCGCCGGAAGTACTGGTGATTGTGCGGGCCTGCAATCCTTCAGCGGCGATATACCAGTTCGGCATAACATCCGTTCGTGCTACGTTCCAGTTCTCCGCGTCGAAATCCACTATCAAGGATTGGAAACTAGCCAAACCCGGGAAGCTGGCAGTTGGTTCAAACTTGTGTTGACAGCCATTTATATGCGTTACTTTGATGCCGTGACCACCAGGGATAAGGTAGCCACTTGGATTGTGCTTTGTGTGAGCTGGTTCAATTATCCGGATGTGGCAGAGATATATAGCCCATGGTCCATTGGGAATTGCTTCAGAACCTGAGTTTTCCAGGGTCATGCGAACGCGGTATGACTTCCATGTATCTTGAAAGTTGTCGATGACATCATAGCGAATGCCAAGGTTGGCTGCGATGTAATCCAACGTCGTTTGCTCCAACTTTTGGCAGAGGGCTAACAAAGACCAGAAATGATAGCATAAATCTTTCTCTCTTAAATACTTAAAATTATCTAACTTACCTAAACTGTCGTTGAAATAAGTATACCTTAAACTGTCATTGAAATAAGTAAAAGAGAGAAAATTCTGACTAGACACCGTGTGTGATGCCTCAGAAGGATGGTTCTAACTTTTGCATTCCTCGAAAAAAAAGAACCCGGCTTTGCTTACCACTTTTATCTACTTTAAGCATAGTTGGTATCATTAAGGACTGCTCTTTTTTAGCGTTAAAGTCAAGTGGTGACCACAAAAAAGTCATGAAAATTTTCGTGAAAAGGTTCTGATCTCAACGAAGGACTATACTAACACATAAAAGAGAATAAAACAGAAGGAAAAGGTTCTTCATGAGTGGCTCATGAGTAGCCCAAACTAGAAACACTAATCTTTCAATGAACTTAGGAAACCAAATGGAAAATTCCAACCTTGTGCGATTAACCCCAGAAAAACAGCAACGGCAAAATGTCTCTTTCGAGTTTCCATGTTATCTAACCAAAGAATTCAAAGACTAAGGATGTCAAGACGATTTCCCTCATGTAATGTAGGCAGTGGAAAACTTTACACCTGCAGCAACGCTTAAACGTGTCTCTGTTGCCTTTATAAGCTGAGTAAACAGTCAAACACAAAAGAGCGTCGATAGGTTTCTCCAATTTGGACGTGGTGGGGGGGGGGTGGGGCAGAATAGGAAAGCACGACAGGTTGTTTTGTTATTACAAGATAATTTGGTTTTATCAACTGCGAGTTGATACTGTAAATTGGCCACAGTAAAGCATTTCTAAAGCTAACGTTTCGAACGTTAGCCCTTGGTCAGAGAAAATTTGGTATCATACTTTATCACTTATTTCGCGGAGATAAGAGGATAGTCACCTGCCGTCTACTGACCCCCACCATCCCTTCCCACTCAATGTGTTTTTATGATGATGTCTTTTCTCTTGTCACTGAGCATCGATCTAACATCTAAATTCTATTAGCTTTGGCAGTATTTTTTTCTTTTTGCAGCGTCAATGACAAAGCAGAATTTCACATGTTATTTATTGACTCCAAGCGACGGGTTTGAGGAGTGATTGAGTAGAGATCGTGGAATAGATGAGCCTAGCTCTTCAGAAATCTTCAAATATGTTTAATGATATTGATGGTTCTGCACACTTCAGTGTGATATAGATATCAACGGTCCTCTACAACTGTATTATAGAAGTGTTATTTGATACTCACTATAACAGAGAGCTTGAAACAGTATCACATCTGAGCGGCTGTATTTTCTTTTTCCAGAAAAATACCCTCGCTGACAATGTCCTCTTTTTAGAATGATCATGTCACTTCCGTGTATTCACAGTTGAAGGGGAACATTTTCACAGCAAGTCATCTTGTTGACACAGCCAGACAGATGAACATTTTCATCGTCCCTGGGGACCGTTTCGAGAAAGTCCTGGTAACTAACGGGCCCGTAAAGCTGTTCTGTTTTCATTAAAGATGGGGATTACAAAATTTTTTGGAAAATAATACAATAAAATTATCGGCTAAGGAAACAAGATAGACTGGTTTGAGTGCCAAAACCTGCTTTTCTATCCTTTAAATTTTGATTTCAAAACATGGCTTTGGGCCCGTTAACTTACCGGAACTTCTTTCTCTTGCAAAACACAGCTTTATAACTATTTCGTTTTCAATACGGTAGTCTTACGGGAGAGTATAGATTTCATTACAAGCTTTTAATGAATAAGTTAGATTGAATAATTGAATAATGGTCAGGGTAGAACAGAAATTACAAAAAAAGATAGCAAACAATTCATTTCGACAACAATTCCGCTCATTGTCTCGCGTGAAGTTAAGTTTTGGGAAAAAGTCGGCCGAGTCAAAGAGCGGTTAGCTGTTACGTTGCTGAAGAGCTAAAAAGGGGAAAAAATTCGTAGAGACGTACCGCTCGGTGTTTGTATCTCTGCGCAAAGTTCCCAGATATAAGCTGAGGTCTGCTTTAAGAGGCAGGCATTTATCTTGGGGTCATTTTCTATATCCAGCAGTGAGTCGCCAAAATTCCAAGCTGTGTGGTCCGCGCTTTCCAGCGCTTAGCAGTATTCTTTCCAATGAAAATTACAACATTTTGTATCCATAGTGAGCAGACTTTGAATTAAATGGACATAACACATATTAGATTATTCCTTAAGACGATATTTTTCTGCACTACTTGATTTTTTTTAACATACCATTTAAAAACTTAAAGACAATCTTAAGCGTCAACATTGGGCAAGTACTCAGTCAGCGAAATTCCTTTTAACCAGTAAGTTTAAACTGAGGCACCATGCCATAGTTGGTTCCTATTTCACCCTTATAAAATTCTGCTTTGCTCTTTTATGGTTTCTGTGCAGAACTAATCTGCAATGGCCCTTTCACTGGATTCCCCCAATCTATTGTTAATTAAACGGCTAAGTCTTCTCCGGTAAGTCGAGAGGCTAACAAGGATATCAATTTCTCGCGCGCGAGGTTTATGCTTTTAAACTTGAGCAAGCCTACGAAACGTGCAGTGATTTTTTTGAAGCATGCGCCGTGACGATTGCCAAGTTTTAATTATAATTTGAGCAGCGTTTGCCAGTATTCTAATTGGCATGAGCTCTATCGTAAATCATGGACTCATAAACTGTATACACCGCTTTGTTTTTCCTCAATCATATCATGGTAAAACCCGAAACATATGTCAATGTCCGAAGTCATACAAGTATCTGGTTAGCATTATTTAAAGGAGTTTAGAGTCTTAAAACCGCACTAATTCGCTCCTAAACTGTATACAATACATTACGACATGCGTGGAGTACCAAGGAGGATTAATTATCAACGGTTCCGGTGTAAAACTCTGCTTTCGTTCATCTTGGTTTTGAACGTGGCTCTGTTCGTCGTATTCAACGGCATTGTTATTCTTTACAGGGAGCCTTTAGGTGAGTATACCACAGGCAAAACATTTGGAGTGACTGATGTTCTATTAAGGTTCTGTTGCACTTTTTTAAAAGTGCGGCTATTAAAAATTACATACGTTGAATATGAGTATGACCACGAAGAATTAGATTAATCTTTCAGCTATGCTAAAGCTTTCTCCGTTTATTATGGTCCTATTGATTTAAACATTTTAGGAGTGTCCTTTGAGTGAAAAAAGTTGAACAACAACGGGTACTTTTGAGCTCGTCTTAGGAGGATCGTTGTTTACGTTTCATCTCTATTAGCATAAACGATTCATCGCCTATAACACAACAAAAGGACATTTCTGAATCGATTCCATCGACACAACCTCCATTCTCCGAAAGTCTCTCTTCAATAATATTTGTCTGTTCTAGTAAAACGATGATAAAGACTTGAAATTTTATAAATTATTACGAAATGATCAGTCTCTTTTAACATTCAGAAATTTTTCTTTCACCCATGTCTGACATTTTCTCAGGTATTCTACACAAATTCTTTGATGCGGTCACATTTCGTCCGCAATATTAATTATTGGAATCAGTGAATTATTTAATCAAAGCAGTGAACTGTAGAAACTTCTACCAATTTTTTTTTTATTTATTTTTTTTTTATCAAAACCAGGATGATATTGTGCCGGTGAAGTTGGGAAGCCCTCTCAGAGAACAATGCATACCCTAGGGAATGAAAGCGTCACCATTAGTTATCAGACCAAACAAAGTATTCTCCATGACTCTGTAACGAGAGTCGATTGAATGTCATTCTGCAGTGAATAATAATAAAATGTTCATTTACAATTGGTCTATATTTGGTCAGTCGATGTTTAATTAGTTTTTATTTGTCATGTTTTTTTTTTCGTATCGTTTTCGGAAAACGGCCAAAAAAAGCAAAGAGGAAGAGGATTTTCTTTTAGGTAGAGTGAGTCATCATTAATCGTTAAACGATAGTTACATCCTCTTTTTTCCCTCTGTTTCCCTGATTTTGAAGATTGTACTTATTTTAGAATATTTTTTGCAGATAGGGATTCTACTGATTTTGAATTTCAAGTTTTAAAGAGTGAAAAGTCCCGTGAAAATCATTGCTCAGAGGAGATTGAAGAAAATCTGGTGTTTAGCAAAGATAAAATCACACCTCCAGATAAGGACGAAACTGAAACTTTGCCTATTAATGTTAGAGATTATAATGATGACAATGACGACGATGATAAAAAAGGTGACGCCAACGACGTTGAAATCGACGACGACGAGCGTAGCAAGGAGAATGATAATGATGAGGGTGATAATGATGAGGGTGATAATGATGAGGGTGATAATGATGAGGGTGATAATGATGAGGGTGATAATGATGCGGGCGATAATGATGAGGGTGATAATGATGAGGGTGATAGTCATGGAGAAATAGAAGAAGAACAACAGCAGATAAATGTAAAGGAAGAATACGAAGAGATAGCAACTGTCTCGTACAATACTCCGCAAAATAAGCCTCTCGAACAAGAAAAAGGAGGGATAGAAGGCAAAGGAGATAAAGGAGAGGAAGAAGAAGAAGGTAAAGAAAAGGAGGAGGATGAAAACAAAGACGTTAAAGAAGACACAACGTTTGTCCCAGATGATACTCAGCGAATTTACCTTGGTGGTCAACCAAGTTTTGCACTGGACCAAAACGCGATAATTCCTTCGCACTCGCCCACCGTTGGAAATGTTTATCCACCAACAACGAAATCTTCAAACTATATTCCACTAAATGCAGAAATTACTACAACAGAGGAAGACCACCCACCTGTGAACAAACTTGCTTTTGCCACAGCAGAGCCAATGACACAAGAAATCTTGGACAGAATAGCAGAAGATATGGAAGTCCGTTTTGAAGTGTTGGAGGATATAAAAAAAGCGAAAGTAACTTTACGAAATAAAGGAATGAAACCAATTAATGCAAATCGATGGTCTATCCATTTCTGTGTTACAACTGGAATGGAACATCGCCATCTTGTGCACAAGCCAGAAGGCTACGTCCTCCCGAATCAAACGTCAATTAAACTCACACATTTTAATGGTTGTGCTTATAAGTTAGAGCCCACGAAGGACTTCAAGGCTATCCTTCCAGGAAACTCGCTAGAGTTTACGGTGAACATCGGGCCAACGATTGCAAGGAGTGATTTGGGACCGCGATGGTACGTTGCTGCGGTAGGTTTGCAATCAAAGGTCATTTCCAATACAGCTGGTGAGAGTCTGGACTTTGTCCTCCTTTCGAGAGGAAAGAGACCCTGGGATAGGTTTAGACATAATGATGTGGAAGATCTTGGAACGGCACCTCTTTTGGTGATTCCAACGCCTCTTGAGATTTTAGGATTGAATGTTTCCAGGAAGATCCACATTGATAACGAGTGGATTGTGGTTGGAGAGCTTGGATTAGAAAACGAGGCCAAATTTCTTGCAGGTAATACGCGATTTTAATGTCTGGCGAGCGTGTTTTGTTTGGTTTAGCTTTGTGTTTAGAAGAAACTCTAAAATACCAAATAGTTAAAAAAGGAGAAAAGGCTAGTCACAAAAAAGACCAGATCTCCTTTGATCCAAAATTTGCTTCTTTGATTCCTCATACTTGGGTTATATAAGGAAAACTTGAGGTATCACATAAAGCTTAGCATATTTTAAAATTCAGAAGAAAGTGTTTCAAAGTTTTTTACCCCGTTTGATCCTCCGTGACATGGGGTAAAATATTTACAGCAGTTTATATTACATCTGAAGTAAGGCCTAAAACTGTTTTCAAATGATTATACTATCTTCAAGCAAGTTTTATCAGTTCTCTGTTAACCTAAATCAATTTACGAACCCATTGCTCTTTACAGATAAGCTACGATTGCAAAAGTTTTTGTCTCCAACAAACGACAGAAGAGTTATAAAGCTCTGGCGTAATGAGACACAATTTAAAAGAACAGACGATGAGGGAAAAACTTCAAACCAGGCTTCCAGTGAATCATACCAGCTGACTGTGGATGCAACTGAGGAGTTAATCACCATCACAGGAATTGGAAATGCTGGTGTGTTCTATGGTATCCAGACTCTCCTCGCTCTCGTGGATGACCAAGGCTTGGTCCCCCAGGTCTCAATCGAAGATTCCCCTCGTTTTCCGTATCGAGGGTTGATGGTTGACGTTGCTCGCAATTTTCAACCAAAGCAGGAAATTATGAAGCTTTTGGACGTCATGGCGATGTACAAGATGAACAAGTTTCATTTTCATCTCTCAGATAATGAAGGGTGGAGACTGGAAATACCGGGGATACAGGAGTTGACTTTGGTAAGGAACTCGTCATTTTCTATCGCCTGGGAGGAGGGGAGGGGATGTTAGAGGATTTTGGCTGTGTCACGACAAATTTTTTCCAGTTCTCGATCTCCTACGTTCCCCCTGAGATCATGTGATCTCTCCCAAAATCCTCACCCCCCCCTCCGGCGATAGGTGATAACTGATCCCTAAGTAGTATAGGGCTTTCTCAAAATGACTTCATAAATATCTTCCCATCAAAACTGTAGATTTTCCCCCGCATTAAAGCAGTCCTGTTACGATATTTGACTCAGTAATTTAATGTGCACGATAGAGCGGAACTTCATCTATAGGTACCGTAGTAAGTTCTAGCAGGCATGCTATTCATTCTAATATGTTGACTTTTCCGCAGTTTAGAAAAATTCAGGTGAAGGATTAACTTCCATTATTTTTACTTTGAGGTTGGTGGTAAAAGATGCTACGACGAGAAAGAAAGAACTTGTATCTTATCTCAATTTGGGTCAGGCCCCGATACCACCACTTCGGGAACTGGGCACTATTCTACTGAAGACTATGGGGAAATTCTTCGTCACGCAACACAACTTCACATTCAAGTCATTCCAGAGTTCGACTTTCCAGGTCACAGTCATGCAGCTATCAAAAGCATGTTATCTCGGCACGACAGACTGCTGCAGGAAGGGAAGGAGAAAGAAGCGAGGATGTATCTCCTCAACGATTTTAGAGACGAATCCCGGTATCTTTCGGTGCAAGCATTTACCGACGAAACCGCCTCTGTTTGTTTGAACTCAACTTACGACCTAATGGAGTATGTCCTACGAATGTTAGTTAGCTTGCACAGCGATATTCAACCGCTGACCGTGTTTCACTTTGGAGGAGACGAAGTACCCGGCGGGGCTTGGCAAAAATCACCCGAGTGTGAAAAACTAGCTGAGACCTTAAACATTAGATATCACACCCCTCAAACGCACCGTCTACTAAAGGGATACTTCTTGAAGCGTATATCGAATATCACGGCGAAGATGGGAATTGAGTTGGCTGGCTGGGGAGATTTCTTATTCGAGCGGAAAAATCGCACGGTATTACCGAGGGAATTTTTCTTTAACAAGGAAGTATACTCATTTGCATGGAGCACCACCGGAGCTTCAAGAAATAATCGAGAAGTGTCTTCGATGGCTAATCACGGTTATAAGGTGGCTGTTTTCAATTGTTTTTTCAACTCTATTTTTGCAAAAAAAAGACAGAGCTTTTTGTATCGAGAGCGGTTCATTAAAACGAAGTTAGAGACACTCTGCTCGATGGACCGAGGATGGAAAAAAATCCTCTTTGCCGAGGCGTTAGGCTCTCGTTTAAGAAGTCTGGGAAGTCTGGGCTCCAGCTCTTGTAGGTCGCTGTGTTGCGCTTCATCTCGACCAGAAGGATAGATGGGTAATGGTGAACTATTATTGAAACGTGACGAAATGCAAGGAGGTAGTGGTGTGACAAAAAGATCCTTCCTTTGGGGTGGGGTTGGGGGAACATAAACAATGCAAAAAATGCAGTTTGAAAAAACTGGATTCTTTTTATATAGTATAAACTTGACATGTTTTGTTTATTATACTTGATAATATTCCTTTTAACAAATCAGTAATAAAACTGGCCACTGTCCCAAGGAAGTAGCTTGCAAAGTAGTAGCTCCCAGCCTGTTCATTGAGGCCCCAGACTCGATATTTTTGATCAGGCTTTCATTTAACGCTTTCTTGAACTATATTTCACCTGCTGCGACTATTTATCATTCATCACCTACAAATCAGATATTATTGATATTATTAATATTATCAATCATTATTATTACTATTATTAATATTATTAATCTTATGTATTTTTTGTACGCTTTAGGTTGTATTATCAAACCCTGATTACATCTATCTTGATCATCCCTACGAACCTAACCAGGACGAAAGAGGAAAGTATTGGGCAACCCCTTATTCAGACACTCGAAAAATATTCAGCTTCATGCCCGATAGCCTCTATGAAGACATCGATCAGATACGAAACTGTACTAAATTAAAGGGTTTTGTTGACGGACGAAGAAATGTCTTAGGTGGGAAGGCTTATCTTCAATCACTAACTCTGTTATAGACTCGAAAATTTCAAATCGTTCTCCGTGTTTATCTGATAGGTGTCGAGGCAGCAGTCTGGGGCGAGACGATAAGAACTTCTGATCAAATGTTCGGCATGTTGTTCCCACGCCTTATTGCGCTAGCAGAACGGGCTTGGCACAAAGCACCATGGGAAAACATAAGCAACAGGCAGGTACAAGATCGCGAAAAGGCTGGTGACTGGGTGAAGTTTGCGAACACTCTTGGTTATAGAGAGCTGGGTCGGCTTGACAAAATGAACGTTAGATACCATATGACACCACCAGGAGCAAGGTAGGAATAAACTATGGCCAGGCAATACCGAGAGAAGATTACTCTCTGGTACTGAGTCTACTACATCAGTAGCTGGTCTAGAATTCAATATCCATTCCTCCTTCCCTTCGCAAACAACTTGATTGAACACCAAATTCTCATAACCAATTTACAAGGAAATGTGTATCAGCTAGAGGAGAGAATTCAAAATCAGTTCTGTGTCTGTCTGCACTTGTCTGACAATACTCTTTACTGTACTGTACTATACTTGTCTGCACCAAAATTCTTGCAACGGGAGGATCGTCTACGTAATTGATAAATGCAAGTAAAGGGGGTCGAATGTTACGAGAGAGAGGAGGGGGGAGCGTAAATAAGTGGAAATGCAATTTTCTACAAAAAATCTACTGTTATCTGATTCAAAGTTTAGACCCCTTCAATCAAAACCCGTTTGACTCTCCCTGCATATAGGTCTTATCTGGGGGTGAATCTCTTTTGAGGTATTGTTGGATAACTCCAGGGGTCGGTGATCTAAAGAGGATCTGAAAACAACCATTCTTTATCCGCGAGTATATTTACGACTGGGAAAATCTCCTCGATAACTCATCTCGTACTTCTACAGCTTGGCAATCAATAGCTATTGTGGTAGTGAATATGCGTTACCCCGAATATCATAGTGGAAAACTTTTGAATGGAAGATTTATCACCCAAAATAAGTCACTCCCATATGATGCCAAATGATACATTCTAGATTGGTAGGTAAGAGGCTTGAAGCCAGAGCTATGCTGCCGGGCCTTCGAGTTGAGTATTCTACAGACAAGGGAGTCACGTGGAATGACGTCACATTTGAAACAGAGGTTGACGGGAGAGTTAAGTTGAGGACAAGGTAGGCGCTAGATGGAATGGGCAATATGTTTATACTTGTGTCCATTACATATCATCAGATTCAGAAATAAAAGAAGAGAACCGAATATGAAGATTCTTGACGATTAAGTATCTGCTTGAAAAGTGAATTCCCTTGTTAAAACATACTCCTTACAAAATTCAGGATTCCTATTTAGGAGGGTAGATCAGATATACATATTCAATTGTTTGTAAGGCAAAAACTGTTAAGAAGTGTCTGTCTTTTACGTGCTCACTCTCGAACGAGCTTGAAAACGAAGTAAATTTACCAAGAGAAATCAAGGATTACTCATTTTTCTTGTCTTTCAGATCAACTGACAACAAAACCGTTAGTAGAGAAATTGAGCTTCAACAAACGACACCGACACAGGCACCGAAAGCAGAAACCAAAATTGGGGGTAACACCGAGAGTAAACGAGAGCAAGAAATAGAAAATAATCATATGAACGTTAATGATAACGATACCAAGGGCAGCGACAACGACAACGAGGGCAACGAAGGTAACAATTCCGACAAGGAGCCCGATAGAGACATCAGGGAAAAAGAAAGCGATAATGAAACAGATAACTTGAACAACGAAGGTAACAATTCCCTGTT